GGCCATTGCGAGCCGGCGTCGGTGGGATCGTCCGATGGGCCTCTGTTTTGAGGAGGAGGGAGAGGACAGAAAAGGCTCGTTGAACGGGCAGGAGACCAGCTTGGCTGCGTCGTGTGGTTGGGCGTAGGCCCGCTGCAAGTCAACACCCGGTCGGCAAGATGCCAACTTTGCGACAAGTCAGGCTTTTGCTATTGCAACGAGGCTATGAGGTGTAGTCACCCTATTTCCTTTAAGGCGATAAGCGGGCTGGTAGTTCCATTTTTCCCATAATTAATTGAGTGGGCCCTACATTTCCATTTACTTTCGCATAGCCTTACTTTCCCAAAAGCTGTCCTCATCCAGGCACCCCCGAGGGGACTCGTACCACAGCAGTGCAGCGTATCATCTCGACACCGCTTCATCGGCAATCCCGCCACAAAAGTTGAATTGGCCCAAGAGCTGCTGTGACAGTCTGGCGTAGTGGTCAACCTTTGTGAGTGTATACGTTGCACTGTCATGGGTCGAGTCCCGTCGGCGGTGCTGGTAAGACCGCTCAGCCTGAGTGAGGACAGCTTTTGGGAAAGCAAGGCTATGTGAAATTCAATGAAAATGTAGGGCCTACTCATGTCATTGTTGGAAAAATTAAACTACCAGTACCGTTATCACTTTGAGCGAAATAGTATGAATACATTTTATATATAAATGATCCACTGGAAGTTTCAAAAACCTACTTATAAACGAAACATTTAATTAGACTGTTGAGCTCATTTCCACTATAAAGAAAAGAGTTTGGTGAAGAGATCCCATCAGAAGAAAATAACAGAGTCCTTTCTTGACCCGCTGTCGATTGGCTTTACTAGAGAATTCTTGCTGACGCTTTTTTCAAGGTAATCTCCCTTGATCCCAGTGAAAATGTGTTAAGCTTTCGGAATCAAAGGAAACTCCCTCGGAAATAGCGTCAAAAAGCATCTTTTCTTTAAAACCAATCGGCACCGGGTCAAGAGTCTAGTCCACTATCGTCTTCTGATGAGTTCGACCTTAGAATCTCTTCACCAAACATCTCTTTTTGCAATGGAAGTGAGCTT